ACCCCCCCCGCCATAAAACATGAAGAAGAAGAAGAAGAAGAAGAAGAAGAAGAAGAGTAATGTTCGCGCCGCGCTGTCAGCTCGGTGGCGCTAGTAAACACGTCCTCTCTGCGCCGTCGAGTCGGTCGCGAACACTTTAATACTGCGCTGTTTCGTCCCACATTTGGGTTGTTTGGCTTCCCATCTTAGTCTATGCTGCAGATGCTGGAGCGCTCAGTGTGTGTGTAGCTCATAGCTGTGTGTTTACACGGCCAGCCTGTGCTCAGTACACGCGTCTGATTCGCATTCGCTTTGTTGTGGCGTCGTTGGCGCGTTCCCAGCTTTCCCGTCGAATCCGGGTTTAATCATCCGCAGCAACGAGAACCATACACAGCGATGCGGGGGGGGGGGCGTTGTCATGTTTAAGTAGATTACACCACGTGTTTTAACTGCAGCTGCGTTAGCTGTCAGTCCAGTTCGCGAATGATTCGTTTTCTGAGTCGAATCTTTTCAAGGAATCGGTTGAATCGAGCGGTTCTCGAACCAAGAGCTCAGAACCGTCTCTCACAAGTCAGAGAAAGTTACTGGCCGCAATGTTAACCACTAAAACTTGTGTTCAAGACTTTTATTAACATACCTGTACCATGAAACGAGCTGTTTTGGAAATGGCATTTTATTGAAAACTGCAAAAACTTTTATTTTTTATCAATGCAAATTAATTTAAGTGTCATTTAAAGCAAATGCTAATCATATGCACTTAAACTGGTTTATCAACTGCTTCACAAAGTAGTTTTGTACAGTGTGTAGGTCATACAAGACTTACAGTACACATGGATATTTATTAAAAGGTGAAGAACCACCATCATGTCTTACTTGCCAAACCAAAATGACTATGAAGCTGTTTTTAATGTAAATAGACACTGTTTTCATTCAGAGGTGTGTTTAACCGATTTGTTTAAAAATGTATCAGCTGAATGTATTTTAGAGTTTCTGGCTAGTGTAGATCTGAAATGACTTTTATAGCGTTTTGTTAAGTGTGTACCTTGTGTAATCTGTTTTGAGATTGCCATGAAAACAGCCGTGATGCTGGCGTGGCGTTAAAAAGTGAATGCATAAATAAATCAGCTGGTCTACAACTGTTGAGCAAAATGTGCTCGGCTAGTTGTGTGCTGGTTCCTTTAATGACTTGACTTGGAAGTTTCTTTTATTTTTGAGCACCACCTCCTGGGTTTGTGTTCGTTGAATATCTGACATAACTCTGGTGTCAAGACTGCAGCTTCATTCAAAGCATACAGCGGTTTATTTGCATGAAGTGTAATGTTCTCTCTCTCAGTCGGAGGCTATGAGCAGCAGCGAGTGCTTCGGTTGCGGCCGCACGGGCCACTGGATCAAGAACTGCCCAAACGCAGGCCGCGGCCGTGGAAAGGGTCGTGGCCGAGGGAAAGGTACGAGCCGCTCGCTGCGCTGTTAAAGCAGGCGTCTGCTGAGCGGATCGGCTGAATAATGTGTGTCTCTGCTCACGCTAGATCTGTTCTGCTATCGCTGTGGAGAGCCAGGCCACGTGGCGAGGGACTGTGAGAGGACCGAGGATGGTGAGGACGTGAAATCTGTAAAAACATTTGTGTTACGTGCTGTGATTGTAAACATTTCTCACATCAGAGAGTCTGTCCATCACTCAGGACACGGAGAAAACACTGTTCAGTCAGCTAGTCAACTTCACCATTACAGTTCACACACTGAGTTAAACAAACACTGGCTGGCTCATTTTAAATGGTTCAACTGTGTGGAAAAAATAAAAATTACTGTCTAAACTCTTTTTAGTCAGCAATTCATAGTAAATTTCAGGAATTACAAAGATATGGCAAGTAATGCATTAAATTAAACATTCAGTAGAAATACTGAAATAGTGTTTACTCGTGAGATGTGCTCCAGTGTTCAGTTTTATTTACAACTCTAGGTTTTTAAAGTTTGAATGCTGACAAAAGAGTAAAATTGCATTTTAAATATGTAAGGTAGAGTATTCACATCCAGTTAGCATTGGGTTAGTTGATGTGGTGCACTCCTAAAAAAACATTATTATGCTGTAAAAAAAAAGATTTTTCAAAGTAAATAAAGTAGATTAGTGTGGTGTTTTCCAAGAAAATACAATTTTAGACTTTTTTTTTTACTTCAAAATTTCATGTTTAATTCAATGTGCTACTTGCTGATTGTAATTTGTGTGATTTATAAACAATTTCTTTCAAGTAGTTTATACACTATTTTCCCACATAAAAAAAAAGTTCACACTGTTGAAAAACTTCAGAATTTCCCTTTTAATTCAATATTACTAGCCGTTTCTCTTGAACTCTAATAGAAATGTCTGACGCAAAATTTCCCACAACAATCTTTTCCCCCCATGTGCATGTAAAAGATAAAGAGGATAAAAAATTACTTCACTATATTACAAATAAATCCTAGTCTAATCATGACAAACTGTATGTCATTATATAAGACTCCTATATATTTTACCAAATCTACATCATAACAGGAGTTCTGACCTGTCACAAAAAGTCTTTCTTCGTTCCTTTAATCACGCTTTAGAAATCATCATAAATTATATATCAATTGAAAGCTTAAAATCTAAAAATTCATCTTTTGAAAACCTTTTTAAAATCAGACATTGCATTATGATGGAAATGGTACATCAAAATCATATTACGAAATGTTTCCGTTCATGAATTATACCAATTTAAGTTTGGATGGTGCACTTTCACATCTGTGTTCAATGGGGCGACAGCTAAAGTGTTTTAGGAAAGGGATAAGGGTGACCAGCCACCGCAGTCAGCTAGTCAACTTCACCATTACACTATTTGGTTAAGGTTAAATTGTTCAACAGTGTGAAAAATAACTTCAAAATAGGTGCATGAACTGTTTTTAGTCCGCAGTTCATTGAGTTAAACATGCAATTTTGAAGTAGAAATACTGAAATAGTATTTTCTTGTGGAATGTGCTCCAATATTCAGCTTTATTTATGTTGATAAAAGAGTAAAATTCAGTTTTACTCCATGCGCCTTGGTAAAGTATACACATCTATTTAGCATTCGGTTAGTGGATGTGGAGCATTTTTAAAAATCATCATTATGAAGTAAAAAAGATCTTTCAAAGTAAATAAAATAGATTATTGTGGTGTTTTACTAGAAAACAAAAGAGAGAAGGGTGAACACTCCTGCTTTGTCAGCAAGTGTTGTAGGGATGGGCGATGTCTGATCGTTTGTGATATACCGGTAATAACTCTCCACGATAAGAACTAGTCTTCCCGCGATAATAACGATAAAGTCTAGTTGTTGACATTTCTGTGTGTGACTGTGCGGAGCGACATGGTGGAAGGCAGACGTGAAATTGATAGGAGTTTATCGCTAAACGAAGAGCTCCTTCTACTGGAGCTGGTTTGGTCAGGATTGAACAGTGCACAAAACAATCCGTCTGAATAAATGTACTACAGTAGGGTGACCATACGTGCCATTTTCCCAGGACGCGTCCTGGCCAGGATTTCTAAATTGCCTAAAATATCTAGGTTTTGGCTTTGTTTGTGTGTGCAGACCGATCGGTGTATGACATCAAAATACCATACAGACGGTTCCTTATGCTTTCAAAATGCTATCGAGGTATTTTGATGTCATACACCGATCGGTCTGCACAC